ATAGGCACACACTGTAGACACTAATTAGAAGAACACAGACTAAAACAGCAATGTACAGACGAATCAGATGATTAAACATGATCTTAAAATATATTTAATATATTTTTTTTTATTGCATTTTTTTGTAATCATTATTTTTAATACTTTCTGCTGACACTAGGTGGGGCTGTGTATTATTATCTGTTGTATTATTCTCAAAAAAGATAAACGCCATTCTTAAAATGTATAAACGAACAATAGTTTGATTAATATTGATTAGAGTGCACAATAGAAATAAAATAATTGAGAGAAGGAAAAGAGATATATTTTCTATCAAAACCCAGTTAGATTAACATTCATTGGATTGCACACTTTGTTTGTTTGTGTGGATATGTAGCACATTAACATTTTAATAGCACTGAATGACTGACTGAATGGAAATGACAATAAATGAAAATGTAAAACGAAAAAAGCGATCATGAAAATGTTTCCAAAAAATGAATAAAACATTTTTTGACCACTTTGTTGTTCAGATATATCACATTTATAACTAAATGATACATGAATTGAAACAAAACACAGTATAAACTGAGGAGTGACTCCCGTGAGGTTCATGTATTTTCTTCACTCCGCTGGGAAACTGCTCTCACGTCAAGAAGCATCAGATCAGTGCATGCACTGCATCGTCCAATCAGTGAGCGATACACAGTAAGGGGGCGGGGCGAGTGTCTGAGGATTTCATCGGAGGATGTTCTGGTGGTTCCTCGATTATCGCTCCTCCATTATCGTTCCTCGCTCCTCCGGCAGAAATAAGAGCCATGGGACCAGGGTCAGCTCTAGAACAAATCGAATGGGGGGGCAATCATTTACCAAGGGGGGGCACACACTGCCGTCAACAACCAACACACAAACACCAACGCAACTTCAATTTCAAAAAACATGCTGTAAAGTCTATTGTCTTTCACACACATTGCAGGGGTGTATGTGCTATTTCCTAGCGCAATGACTTGTGCATACATGCACGGTTGTGGCACAACCACCAAAACAGAAACATATGGACATAGGCCACCATATAAAAAGTGTGCAAATGTATTTTGTATCCTATCCATGTGAACATGTTTTAGGTGGGGGGTGGACCTAACCTCCTCTAGGAGGGTCTGGGGGCATGCTCCCCCGGGAAGATTATTTTTAAAATATTGAAGTTAAATGCATCAATCTGGTGCACTTTGAGAGCATCCATATGAAACAGAACTGTACAGATTTACTTTTTCTTTATGGATATGTTACTAATCACTCCCCTTTTAAACTGTATTCTTGTGTTACTGTCTTGTGTTATAGTCCTATAGTTCATACCCGTTTTTCATTTATTCTCTTATTTTTTTAATAACTAGGCTATAGGCTAATGATCATATACATGTGTTCCTCGCAAATACTTGTTTACATAAATGGTGACCAAACCGTTTGAGACTCACTGAGATAACTTACACTAAAGTGAACTATCTAAACACTGAGAGAGTCCTTACCTCACTGAGCTGACGTTATAAGATCCTCTCAGTCTGACAGGAGAGGACTCTCCTCCACCTTGGTGTAGAAACAGCTCTTTATATCTGTTAGCATAGCCAGCTAACCAGATGCTAACAACAACATTCCACGTTACCGCTCGCGCACTCACAAAATGCGATCGTGCCACACACACAGAGAGCCGAGCTTGAATGAAACACAGAGACCCAGAAGTAGGCTACTTGTACTGTACTGTATATCATATTATTTTCGATGGCTTTACTGTATAATCAGTGTAACAGATGAACAGATTGCCACCGGCTTTCATCTAAAACACACAGCCACGTAATGATAACAAAACAAAAGTCGGTAACACTTTACAATAAGGTACACAAAATGTGCTTAGTTACTGCTTAGTTACTGAGGAACTACTAGATAGTTAATGGTTAGTTAATGAGTAGTTCCTCAGTGACTGCGATTGAGGAACTGATGGTTAGTTACTGGTAAACAGACTGGGGGTACTGTATTAACGAATCATTCGTTAATGGTTAGTTAATGAGTAGTTCCTCAGTGAACTTATGGTTAGTTACTGGTAAACAGACTGGGGGGTACTGTATTAACGAATCATTCGTTAATGGTTACTTAATGAGTAGTTCCTCAGTGACTGCGATGGATGGTTAGTTAGTTACTGGTAAACAGACTGGGGTGTATTAATGAATCATTCGTTAATGGTTACTTAATGAGGAGTTCCTGAGTGAACTAATGCTTAGTTACTGGTAAACAGACTGGGGTACTGTATTAATGAATCATTCGTTAATGGTTACTTTATGAGGAGTTCCTGGGAGACTTTGATTGAAGCAATGGTCCGCTGCAGCAGGGCACATTTAAACCTGCCATCTTCGGCTGGCTTGGGTCCCACCCACCCTGGATCAACTGGTGGAGGTGGATCCGATTTACCTTACCATTACTTAGGCCGTTTGGGTATGGTAAACTCAAGGAACGCAAACAAAAACAGTAGTTACCCATTACCTAATGATTACCTTACCGTTACTAAAACAGTAGTTACCCATGAAGTAATGCTTACCTTACCATTCGTTAAGCAGTGTGTGTCCCCTCAAGTAAAGTAATGCATGAAAAACAGTAGTTACCCATTACCTAATGATTACCTTACCGTTACTAAAACAGTACCCATTAAGTAATGCTTACCTTACCATTCGTTAAGCAGTGTGTGTCCCCTCAAGTAAAGTAATGCATCAAAAACAGTAGTTACCCATTACCTAATGCCTACTTAACCATTCGTTAAGCATTGTGTGTCCCCTCAAGTAAAGTAATGCATCAAAAACAGTAGTTACCCATTACCTAATGATTACCTCACCATTAGTTAAGCAGTTTAACAAACAAACAAACACTGTTGATGACAATGACGGATCTACAGCCACTGAAGTTTTACATTTTTATTCAAACAACGATGAACATAACAACAACAACAAAAAATGGAAATAAAAAATACTTTTTATAAAAGAAAACTAAAAAACAATTGCAAACCAAAAAAACATCCATTCCTTCCTCACTTCCCCTTTGGATTAATGGATAATAGTCCTCCATTGGTCTTCAAGTCCTGGACCTTCCCCTCTAGATTTTGGTCCTTTATGGCAGCTTTACACATCTCAGTGAAACGGAGAAGGGTTTCCCCCTTCTTCAGTGTTCCCCGGATATCTTGGTAGATTCCCGGGTTCACGGCATGCAGTTCTGCAATTCCTGCAGTGTCGGCAATGGTTTTGCGGTCCACTCCTACCGCTCTGTAAGCCGCCGTTTTATTATTCCCCTTGTTTACCGCCTCAAGAACACGCTTGTAGCGGCTTATGGCGTCTTCTGGGGTCAGGACTGAAACAGAAAAAAAGACAAATATGTAACTATTTAACAACAGTAGTTTGTTGTTGCCTATCCTAATGATGTCTGTAGTGCAGAAATCAGTTTGGATATGGGTTTATTTATTGATAATATTGTTGTACTAGTGTTATATAGTGGTAGTGTAATCCTTACATACAAAATTGTGTAATGAATTGGTGTAGTGTAAAGGTATTACTAGTCGTGTAGCTTTGCTCAAAGTAATGTATTTGTATGTGTTTGGGGTGTGTACCTTTATATACAGAAGTTAGGTTTGGGCAATCAGCTCTACTTTTATCCAATCATGTTTAATAATGATAACTGATAAGACGATCCACAATGTGGATTTAACGCTCTATCGACATTGCCCCGTTTCTAATTTATAACGCATCAATATTGCCAAGTTTTAGCCTGGCATCCTCATGTCTCAGCAGCCTTTAAATGGAACAGTTTGGAGAATCTGCTCTCCCTGTTCTTTTATTAAAATCTGACACTGCAGGTTAATGTAAGCGTGCAGAGACCAGTTGTTTGGAAACACTGGTGTCGCTCTGAACAGAGCGACATCACAGCATGTTCTGTTTAACATTATAGGCCTACTTATATTCAGGGATGCAAACACCCGTATGGTGAAATAAGAGAGAACTATTAGAAACAGAAAAAACAGCATAATATACCATCTGACAAAGGCCTGCGCTATAATGCGTCAATTAACTGGCTATTCTTTATAATATACGGATAGGAGACAGAGATGTTAAGTTACAAATAAAGGGTTTTTATTACTATTTAGATCAGGGGTGGGGAACTTTTTTCTCTCAAGGGCCATTTCAATTTTTACAACTTTCTCCAAGGGCCGTACAAATTATTGAACTCAATTTCTGCTTAAAAATACTAAAACCACAGCCCATTCATTTCACCTTTCTTTCATGCTGTGCAAAGAAAAAGCATTACATTACATTACATTACATTACATTGCATTTAGCTGACGCTTTTGTCCAAAGCGACTTACAATAAGTACATTCGACCAGGAAGACACAACCTTGAAGAAAACAGAATCATATAAGTATATCAGGTTTCATAGAGCCAAACCAAACCAAAGCAACCTCTTAATCCAGATATTTTACCATGACTCATGCATGCATGCATACACGGTTGTGGCATGACCACCAAAACAGAAAGATATGGACACAAGATGTGTGCAAATTTGTTTTTAAATGTTGAAGTTAAAAGCATCAATCTGGTGCACTTTGAGAGCAAAATGAAGAGATCTATGGATACATCTCTCAACACCCATATGAAACAGAATTGTAAGCAGATTACTCTTTTTCTTTATGGATATTTTACAAATCACTCTCCTTTTAAACTGTATTCTTGTTATTTTAAAAAAACGTTTTTGTTACTGTCAAAGTATTTTATACCTGTATACCAAAACTACAACTCTTCGCTTCTCCACGAATTACACAAGTCACCCAAATCAGCGTCAAGGTTAGCCTGTTTTTAACGCAAAAAACAATGCTGTGTTTTGAATATCGGGGCCTTAACACCAGGTACCTCCTACTCAAAATTCCCAGCATCCGTTGAGCAAAAATGGCTGCAGAACCCAGGGTGAGGATGCTCAGAGTACATAGCCCGAATGACACCTCTTTTCCCATGTCCTACGTATCCTGCAAAACACAAAAGTGAAAAATCTGATCTACAGAAGGCTGTAAATGTAATAATACATTTGATTTCGATCATTTGTATGTATAATGTTATGAATGATCTGCTATCTTCAATACTATGGTTAAGTGATATTTAAATTAAACTTAAAAAAATCTATATACAGGCTGTCACCATATTTTGGAATTGTGAAAAGACTGGCAAGCCACTTCCCTTATAAGCTTTACAGTTACCTGGATTTTATTCCACCAGCCCTGCAGATATTACACTAGCCTACAAACCTCAATAGGCATGACTCCTAAAATCCCTAAATCTGTTGATTTTTTTTCACACATCTTAGTCCTTCTTCTTAAAGTCCTTAAAGTTTTAGTTTAAAATAGAGATACTTTTTAAATATTGTTCTATAATGATTAAATGTCAGTGAATAACAAAATGTTTAATTATATAACTTTTACATCTCATTTAAAAAAGGTGGTTGCTAACTTGATCAGTGGCATACTGTGACAATAACTGGGACTTCAGCTCAGCCACACTTAGCAGACAGACCAAAAAAGTGTCAACACGGCAAAAATATTTAGCTATGGATAAACCGCATACTGTGACAACAGCAGCTGGCTATGGAGTGCAACTGTTGCATGAAATGACGGCAACCACCACACAATTACATTACAATTATAAATATATTAATTTAGAGTTTGTCTTTAACTGTGTGAGACTACTACTGATACTCTCATGGAGCACTAGATAATTGTCTGTTTGGAAGCTGCTTTAATATATTAATGTGAGTCAAAAGTACATTTTACACATATATTCCTGCTTACATGATGTAGTGGGACATCCTGATATTTTTAAGTTGAAAGTGCAATATCCAAATTGCAAGAAGCTGCAATTATTATTTTTCAGCTAAATTTGAGAATACAAAATTATTTCCTTTTTCTTCAGTAAAATCTGGACTTTCACTCACTCTAGATCTAATCAATTACAGGTGGCAGCCATCAGTAATTTAGGTTACTTTGAAAAAAACAAATGGTGACAGCACTTAATTGTCTAAAGCTAACTGTGAGTGACGTGCACTGATACATTTTTGAGGAAATATAATCTATCTAACAATCTATGTAAGCACTGAAAGCACCTGAAGCAGAAATACAGAACTTATTTATCTATGTCATTGTATGCCAACCTGAACAATCTTTGAATTGCATTCTGCAAAACTGACAAGACGAAATGCAAAACATGGTGGACATTTCCTCGCGATAGGACTCGGAATGGTGAAACCAATTTGTGTCCACACCTGTAATAAGAAAGTATAAAACAATAAGCCTAAGGTTTAATTTAGCAAGCTTATTGAAATTGAATTTGTAAAATACAATATTTCTTACTCAATATCCACAAAAAGTGTGCCTTTTTCCGGAAAGCGTCCTGGCTGACGGTATTTCTTACTTTCCAACAAACCAGAGAAAGCGTCAAATATGCCATGTCTCCAGCGTCAAGAACTACCTCCAAAAGAATGCTCTGCAGCAATTCTTGCGGTAGCTATGGACATATTTTTTCAAGAACCAGGTTAACAACAGAACTGAATTTCAAAACAAATATTTGTGTATATTTATATATTGATATGCTCCTTCTTCATAACCAACCAAGAGAAGTGGTTACCTTAAGAATCCAGCAACATGTCTTTCTTGTGTCCACCATATTTTTTGGGCGCTCAGCTCTTTTATTGAATCCAACCACTTAAAAACACAAAAACAACCAGAAGATGATGCAGGGCTGGCTAAACTTTACTCTAGTTATGGTTGGGCTGATGGACAATGACATCGTGCATCAGCCATGTATGACAGCCATCGCCGTTGGATACCTGACCATCATCACATCATGAGTTAATAAGGCGCCCTCCCCTCCCTGCCCCACAAGAACGGGTAGAGTTTCCTTTTCGGAACAGTTAACTGCGGTACTCACATTACTTTAAACAGCCATAAAGTGGGAGGATAAGCTCAGGTTGATGTATAATAGTTAAACAGCTGACTCCATTATTGTAACACCTATTACAGCAGAAATAAACAAAAAAGCATTGGTAAATGAAGCGCAGAGTTTAGTTTGAGCCGTGGTCCCGGAGCTGATCAAGCACCGCCGCAGAGGACATCGTCTATGTCCAGTTGGGTACACATCGCCCAATTGTAACTTGAACATTTGTTGAAATTAAAGACTTAATGCATACTAAAAGTATTTATTGAGCTGTAAAATACATTGTACGACTGTACTTCAACACCAGACTGCATTCGTTCCCTTAATGATCCCCTTGATGATAACACGCTAAGGCATGTAGCGACACTCCCTCACTAATTAAGTTTAATGTACTTTAAGTGCATGAGCAAATCCGTTTCAGTTTAGTGTTTTCAGTATGAACACAAACAGTCTGACAGCACCTGCTAATGCAGGTTAGCCCTGTTCACTAGCTGTTCCTTCTACACTGAGCAATGGTCAGTCTGTCACATAATTCACTGTAGTCCTACCTCCTTACTTCCCAAGTCAGACACTGTGTAGGTGGCCAACGTACCTCTCTTTGCAGTCTTTCCTTTTGTCTTCTTCGCTTTTTTTCCTCTTTTTTTCTTGCCGTATTTGTTTTTCTTGTTCTTCTTCTTCTTACTCTTCCTCTTCTTCCCTCTGTCTGACGAAGAGGATGAGGAGGAGGAGGAGGAGGAGGAGGAGGAGGAGGAACTGGAGGAATTGGAGGAGGTGGAGGATGAAGAGGAGTTGCCTGCCCCTATTTGGTCACCTTCAGAAGTAACTGGCGCCTTAACTGATGCCATTTTTAGAAGGGCCAAAGCTGAAACAAACAAGAGGATTAGAAGATAACTATTGTTACCACTAAGGGTCAGAACATTTACAATAATCTTTAAACCTTATATTGTGTGTTCAGAGTTTCACGCAGATCGGTGAAAATTCATATAGTGTTTTTCACTACATTTGAAATAGTGAAAAATATCGTGACCTGAAATGTTAGGTAAGTGAAACCATTTGTTCTTTAGGATTTATGGAATATGTGAGATCATTTTCATGACTCTAGTTCAAACGGGGCATGTGATATGCCTGTTCCAAGTTTCCCCCGAACAAACGGACTCAACATATTTTAACAAGTGACTGTTCTTTCCCTCTCAATCCAACCCTCTACTGTCGGTTAATAAGTGAGAGAAGTGAGCTGGAGCCTGATCTGTCAAGCTCCACCCCACCATTTGGTGCTGTCCGTCCTATATGCTTGTCATGATATGTTTGCAGTGAAATGACTGAATTGCTGATGCAACTAGTCATCTGCAAGCATGTATGGCCTCATGGACTGTGATGAGAAATGTTGTAGGGCTTGGTGTATGTGCCTGTTTTTTTTGTTTTTTTTCTCAAAAGCTATCAGATGCCAATAAGTAATTATTTAATCATTATTGATTTGCTTACCCTCAGCCAGCTGTATCCTCAGGTAGTCCCTTTCGCTTTCAACAGTTAATAATTTGTCCTTTGAAGCATCTAGCCTTATTTTCAAGGCATTATTATCTCTGTTTCTGCGCTTCAGAGCTGCTATGGCTGTGGGAGCTGCAGAAACATCTGTAATGACAAAAACGGCAAAAAAAACAACATTATCTTTTCTGTAGTTATTACACAAACAGTATGTATAGGCAGATTGTGGTTCCATGCCTTTGTTTAGCGTTTTCAAAAAATGTACAATAAAATGTCAAAATGATAGATCTAGGACCGGCTGTATTGTCGTGAAGTTGCAGACATGTCATTGATCACATTTAAGAGAGACTGTTGAATTCTATATTGGGACTTGCAACTGCATTTAAACACTGCAAAACCTATGATAATACATTACAAAACATTACTATATTCACTTCAAGGCAACTGTAAGATCATTGATTCTGACAGGGGCTTCACAAGTAATTGCAAAAAATAACTTCAACTTTGAATATGCACTCAACCACACAGAAGTAAAATGGGCTCTAGTACATTTGCACAAGCGTTTACATTTTCGTTATGTAATATTTTCTTGTTCTAGTGTATTGTGCGATATTATATATATATATATATATAAAGATAACACAATCAAAAAACAGTAACCGTAGATAAAATGTAAATGTAATGCAATGTCACAACACAACCTAACCTTTAGTTGATGCTTTAATAGTAGACTGCTGTCCTGTGAATGCATCCGAGTCAGACCCATCACTGCAGTGCACTACAGCTTTAAGAGGGGAGACAGAAAGTTCATAAATTAGAAATAGTGTTGACAAAATGGTACATATAGCGATAGGGAATATTTGAAATTGTGTAAAGGTCCAAAATGCCAAATTAGACCAAAAAAACATGGATGTCGTCCAAACCACTATCTGCCCACCCTGACCTCTACCACCAACAAAGGTATGGCAAAGCACAGTGGAAGAATCTCCTCAACACAGGAGATAACAAGGGGCTTCACTTTGTGCATGTGACATCTTTAATCCACTATACGTTTACATATTGGTTTTTTTACTGCCATCTGCTAAGCAACTACTTATTAGTACACCATCTGAGACTGAGTGGATCCTTAAAGTATGCTTAACATTTGAAAGCAAACACTTACCCATTTCCTTTGCCGCAGTGTGGGAGCTGCATGGCTCTTCCTCAGACTGACCAGCCAAATATTTATCCGCTGTAAGATTATGGAGCACAGAAAGAGTTGTTGATGTAGAGAGCATTACTATATGGAAGTATGTTTGTTTTTTTTCCAGCTATATTATAACTTCATTGGAACTATTTCAAAATTGGATATCTGAAAAGCCACTCTTGAATGAATGTATGAATGTACTGTTTTTAATTATATTTTCATTACATATCGCACAATGCTGTGTTAAAATCAAAATACTCTCGTTTCTAGCGCCCTAATGTCATTTACTTATTTAAGAGTTAAGATAAAATGTTAAACCTTCGTAATTGAGATATTTCAGTTTATTTGACGATTTAACTAATTTAACCCATAACAACCCAGACCCATTTCTACTTTTGGGGAAATTAAGGGGAACATAATTTAGACTAAATAGACCACATTTCTGACAATGTGACATTGAACTTTAATGGTAAAGTAACTCTTATGTATAACTTAATTAATGAGGAGGATTTTTTGATTTAAATTTGTTTTAACATTCTTTGAATTGAAGAATAAAGAATATATTAACTAAATATAATTGGATCACCTAAATTAACTGAGCAGATCATACTCATATTTCTAATTGTGACATATGTGTTACTCCAGATTTACTGTGAAAGTTTAAGGTTAATGTCCCGATGTGACATCAGTGTCACAGCGATATTTATCTAATTTGTTTTATATCAATTTGATCAAGAAATGTTAACAGGTTCAATGTAACAAAGTACATGTTATGTAAGCATTTTAATTCTTAAATGGCTTGATTTGTACCTTTAGCAACCAAAAACAAGCCTCTGAAATGTACCTAGTTCTGTCACATGTCTTAGCCCGACACATGACCCACCAGACTTTTCAGGGTGTGTCACTTAAGGACTTTATGAGATAAAAACAAGTCTAAAGCTGTATAAGGAACTTTACAAAACATTTAAATGTCATGTAAGCGCTTTGAGCTCCAGCAAGGGGCTTTATAAATGTAATGTATTATTATTATTATTATTATGTAACACGTGGGTCCTCATGGTTTAGCTAGCAACCTCAAATCAGATAGCACAGAACAAAAAGTGTAATAACATGTGTCAATTGAGATGATTTCGCGATGCAGTGTTACTGATTTCTGAAATGACAAAAATAAATTTCAATTCATACTTACATTCTGACACTAAACGCTTAGGGGGCCCCATCCTCTTTCGCTTGCTTCTCCTCGAGTCCATTTTCAGTTCTAAGCGTGTTAGGCCGCAAGGTGAACCTCGAAAAGTCCTTTAGAAAAGAAATCCCGCTCCACAGAAGTGAAACTACACAATCTTTAGTTCATAAAAAAGAACGATTCATGCTTATCCACCAAAAAAATTTTCGTCGCTAACATTCCTGCCAATTCTTCTAGGCACGTAATTATTGGCTGAACTATTCCCTTCGAAGCGTAATAATATCTTGGTCCAAAGTCGTGCCACGGTTCATCACGTGATCGTGCTACACCAATTGGGTAGCTGCATATTGTCAACAGAAGTGAAAGATGGCGGCCGCCATGGTTTCATCGAGTAGCGGAGACGAGGAAAACGCACCAGAAAGTCTCAAAAAGTCAAAATTGTCAACACACAAACATTGTTACATGCATATTACGTCTGTGAAGCACGAAAAGGTTGATTGTTTTACCAATACAAGATGGAATACGTACAGGACAAGCTTACAACGGTCGCTCGGCTTGAAGGGAGACTCTCGGAACGTGGTGGCTGAAAACCACAAGCACTGTCTTGATTTCGAGTTCGAAGATATTCCTGAGGACGCTGGCTTCCACCACACATGCTACATAAGGTTTACCGACACAAAGGCCATGACGAAGGTGGAAAGACGGCTCGCACGTGAGGGAGATCAAGACGTTAGGGAGGACCTTGAGGTCGAGCCCATCCCATCGACGTCTCGCAGCACGTACCGAAGCCAAACAGAGAAGCTACGATCAAGGTCAGGCCTGCCAATCGCAGGCTCTGGCCCCGTCCTTCCTGCCCTGTGCATTATATGCAAGATGAAGGAGAAAATGATCATCAAAGCAGGCAATCGACAAAGGGATCAACTGTGTAAGGCTGAAACATTAAAAGCAGGTAAGCAAACCCCCTCCCCCACCCACACACCACACACACACTACACACACACCACACACACACACACACACACACACACACACACACACACACACACACATTCTCTGTGGTTGAATAACTGAAAGGTACAATTATGTGTGAGAGATACGTCAACAAACTCATTGAGTTGTCCTTTTTTTCCGTTTAGGCAAATTGCAGAAAGCTGCTGAGAAGAAAGATGACCAAAGTGTTCTTTTACATATACAAGACAAAGACTGTGTGGCTCTGGAGGTGCGGTACCACAAAAGCTGTTACAGTCAGTACACCATGTTTTTGCTGAGACCTGACAAACCAGAGACAGAACAGTAAGTTATTTCTCCTTGGATTGCTTTACCTATTTGCACTACCACCAGACTGAAGTCCAGGTGTGTGTCGGCGATGGCTATATATATATATACACATACACATACTTAACATTATAAGTAAACATCCAATTTCCTTCTGTTATATGTGCACACAATCACAACACTTATTCATTTATCCATTTATTTACTTCTCATTCATGTGTTGTAGGGATGAGGCAATGTTTGATGCCAGTTACAAGCTGTTCTGTGAGAGGATCATCCGCCAGAGGCTGCTTGTCAACAATGAGGTGCTTAGAATGGGCCAGCTGAGGCAGGCCTTCATTGACATGGTGAAAGCAAACGAAGGTGTTGATGCTTCAAACTACAGGTAACTGCAATGTAATACAAGTCTTATTATTTATCATGTGCAAGGCCAGCTTTAAACAAAATGTGTATGACAGGCCTGTTTGGAGAAACCCCCATGATGTGTAGTGTGTAGTGTTGTTTGTGATGATGTGGGCCTTTATTTGGCTTCTTTGGTGTTAAATGTGCTGTATGGCAGATAGGTTCTAGTCTGTAATGTCTTGTATCACCTCCACCACTCTGCTTTTGATGGTACTCCTGTGACTCGTAATTGTCACTGTTTTGTTGTGTTACAGACAGGATCTGTTGAAGAAGAGGCTGGCTCAAGATTTCCCTCAGCTAGCGTTTCACATGCCCACCAAGCGCAACGTCTGCGAACTGGTTTTTGCTGAGACTCTGTCAAAGGATGCACTCGTGGACATGCTACCAGATCCATCCGGTACGGAAACAACACAGTCCAGTGAATTGAGCCAGACAGACAGCGACAATGAAACAGGGAGAACAAAGTGCCAAACAACACAGGAGGACACAAGGACACTGTATACAGCAGCGTTGTTTTTGAAAAGACTGCTTAGTGACACTCCTGGCATGTCATGCCCATGGCCTCCCACTTCTGAAAATGTAAATGTCACTGAATCTCAAACTGTTGTCCCCATTGGACTATACAATCTGCTCAGCTGGATTATAGGTTCCACTGAGGAGCCAACACTGGATCATTATGTCAACATTGATGATGACGTACATTTGAAAGTGTTGTCTGTTTGTCAAGACATTGTGTACCTTGCTTCCAAGGGCCGCAAGCAGACACCCAAGTCCTTGGCTTTAGGTTTAACTGTTCGACATTTAACTGGATCATCACGCATTGTATCACTGCTTAACAGACTGGGACATTGTGCATCATGGGACACAGTTTTGAGTCTAGACACTAGCCTTGCCCAACTGACACTAGTAGAAGGCAGAGACAAAATACCGAAGGGATTCTCAAAGCGGACACCCACAACACTTGTGTGGGATAACATTGACTTTGGTGAGGAGACACTATCGGGTCGTGGAACTACTCACCATACAAATGGAATTATGCTCCAGAGTGTGCCCGGCGAGCCTATGTCCACAGCAATCAGACAGCCACTGAGAAAGGGAGTTACCTCATTCATAGCCCCCCCCCCCCCAATGCCTATACAACCTTACCATCAGTCCAAAAGGCAAGGGCCACAGAACTTGTGTCAACCAGTGCAGTCAGCGACATGCAGAATGAACACCCACTTTGCTGTACAAGCTGAAATGGCATATGCTTTTGTGAAGTCCACATGTACGGATAGTTGTACAATCCCAAGCTGGACAGGGTTCCATACACTGCTTCAGGATGAAA